TAAAACCAGTTGCTCTGTAACTGTAAATCATTACTAAAAATAAAATAATAATAATAAAATAAAAATTCCCCTTAGGGGCCCCCAATTGGCCCCCGGGCCCTAAGCAGCTACTTAGTATACTTATGCCTTAGGCCGGCCCTAAGCCATATGAGTCGGATGCATGACGCCGCCAGTCGGGTTCTGACACATCGGGTACCTAGAGAATTTTTGTAAAGTCTTGAAAACTGGACCAGATAAATCATAAAGTGGGAAATACAGTTTGTCTCCCATCGATGTGCCCTTAAATTACAAACATGGAAAGTAAATGTGACCAGACGCACACAAACCACCACCGGACTTTTATATTTCCACTTAATTTTTCTCCATCTTTTTTGACCTACACAGACTGTAGTCAACTAAGTACGGAACAGGATTATGGCCAAGGTGCAATAATCCCCCACTCCCCTTAATTCTGAGACAAAAAAGTCAGAATTATGAGAAAAAAGTCAGAATTCTGAGATTAAAGTCAGAATTCAGAGAAATAGGTCAGATTTCAGAGATTAAAATCTGAATTCTGAGAAAAAAAAAATCAGAATTCTGAGATTAAAGTCAAAATTTATGGAAGAGGATTGGGGCCATGGTGCAATACATTTTTTTCTTCCTTAATTTTGAGGGAAAAAAAGTCAGAATTCTGAGATTAAAGCAAAAATTCTGAGATTAAAGTAAGAATTCTGAGATTAAAGTCAGAATTTACGGAAGAGGATTAGGGCGACGGTGCAATACATGTTTTCTCCCTTAATTTTGAGGTGAAAAAAGTCAGAATTCTGAGATTTAAGTAAAAATTCTGAGATTAAAATAAGAAATTCCGACTGTGGTCATCTAAGTAAGGAACAGGATTAGGGCCAAGGTGCAATAATCCCCCCCCCGTTTTTTTTCTGAGAATGCACGGTGCAATACATTTTTTCTCTATTAATTTTGAGAGAGAAAATAAGTCAGAATTCTGAAATTTGAGTCAGAATGCTGATTTTAAAAAAGTCAGAATTCTAAAACTAAAGTCAGAATTCAGAGGAAAATATCATAATTCTTAGATTAAAGTCAGAATTCTAAGATTAAAGTCAGAATTCGGAAAAAACGTCAGAAATCTGAGATTAAAGTCAGAATTCTGATATTAAAGTCAGAATTCTGAGAATAAAATCAGAACTCTGAGACTGAAGTAAAAATTTATGAACGAGGATTAGGGCCACTGTGCAACACCTTTTTTCTCCCTTAATTTTGAAATAAAAAGTCAGACTTCTGAGATTTAAGTCATAATTCTGACAAAAAGTCAGAATTCTGAGATTAAAGTAAGAGATCTGAGATTAAAGTAAGAATTCCGAGAAAAGGCAGAATTCTGAGATTAGGTGCAGCGTCTGCAGTGAAGCAGGCGCTGTACAGGTCTGTCGTGGTGAAGAGAGAGCTGAGTCAAAAGGCGAAGCTATCAATTTACCAATCGATCTACGTTCCTACCCTCATCTATGGTCACGAGCTTTGGGTTGTGACCGAAAGAATGAGATCTCGGATACAAGTGGCCGAAATGAGTTTTTTCCGCAGGGTGTCTGGGCTCTCCCTTAGAGATAGGGTGAGAAGCTCGATCATCCGGGAAGGACTCAGCGAGCGGTTCAGTCAAACCAGGGTGACACAAACAACAACGCTGCCGCTGTCATGGACAGCCACCAGAAACTTGTTGTTACAAAAAATGAGAGCACACGGTGAGCGGGTGATCTCATACCTCAATGACGGAAGTCCGTCAAAAGCCGAACTCACAGGAGCAGCAGCAACTGCACAAACGGTTCAGAAAAACCAGGATTACACAGGTAAAGGTAGACGTGAGAAGAAACGTCGGCCAAAACCTACAAGGTTCCTGTGGAACCTGATCAGAAAGGGGGTCGCTAATAAAGCTTACCTGTCGATCACACTTCAAGGGGTCGTCACACATGAAGCCCTACTGGATGATGGAGCCAACATGACTATTATGTCAGCTAAACTGTTCGAAGAGCTCAGGACTGCCGCTAACGGTGTTCACAGGGACATACCTCTCATAGAATGTGCTATAGGACTGCAGGGCCTCGCAGAGACGAGGACAACCCTGACAGCTAGAGCTATGGTTCACATGCAGGTTGGCGAGATGACACTATACCACCCAGTATATGTGTCTATGGTTGACTCATTCCCATTTTTGGTGGGCCAGGATTTTATAAATCGCTTTGACGCGATTATAGATTATGGTACACAGACAATGTGGGCTAGAGTGAGCAAACCCCTGCCAATACTCATGCCTCCTGAGACAGTCACAGACTGCCCAACAGCAGGCACTGGAGAAGGCACCGTGGACCTCTCGACAGAGAACACAGTCCTGGTAAGTTATCCTTCAAAAGCATGTGGAACCGAAAACACCCAACCGCTGAAACCGACTCTGACTGAACAACTAAGCCTCCTCTGCGAGCTGAAACAGTCAGGGCCCACCGGATACTACCTACCATTGGTAGTTCAAGGTGTAGAGATCCAAGGATCCCACACCTAAGATGCTGTACTGTCGTCGGGAACAGATAAACCAGCTATCAAGGACGGAGCCGTGGACGGCCCTCAGAGGTCCTCTGACCCCTCCAGGCTGCTCGCAACCCTGTCAGTACAACCTACAGCCGAGGTAATGGCAGTCACACGTGCACAGGCTACAGCCAAGCCGGCTGACAACACAGTCTCTGTACAACCCGTGCTGACTGACCCAGACATCATCCAACTTCAGAAGTTGGATCCTGCAATAAACTCGATGATGCTGTATTTGACTGACCCAAGGAAAAGCACTCCATCCGAAGCCAACCTGGATTCTGATCCAGACCCTAAAATCCTCTTTCAGCTGCGCGAACAGCTAAAACTACTCAGGGGCATCCTAACTTTAGCTCATGGAGCGACGTCCTCACCCGTGTTCGTGGTCCCCCATGACCAAAGGGGGGTGACGTTAGTTAGGGTAATGTTACCAGAGTGACGTTAGTTAGGGTAATGTTACCAGACACGATAACGTGATCAAATCTGACAATCAGAGTGAGTGACACACCGAAACGTCGTTTTCTAGTTGCTTAATCACTACTTTTGTCAATGTTGAAACGTTGTTTTACTGGTTGCTTAGTCACTATTTTTGTCGATGTTGAGACATCGTTTAATTGGTTTTTGGTATTGTTTCTGAACACCCCCAGCAAGAATGAATTTTGTGTGTATTTAAGTTAGAGACTAAGAGGACTTTAACTATGCCAACATGCAGTTCATTTGTTAAAGCTCAATCTTTGAGGAGTCAATGTAGGTTAATGCTACCTTAAGTACCATAATCTACATTGGTCTCACAACGCTTAAGCCGAACCTACTCGAACAATCCTATTCGGGGGGGGGGTAGCTAATCCTTCAGTTGAGTCTCGCCATAGA